GAGGTATTGATCCAGATCCATTTGGGTTGGTGTTTCAATCACCTGCCGAAGCAAATATTAAGAAAAATATAACAGACAATAGTAGTTAGTTCACTGTACAATGCTTTGTGGAGTATGTCATAGCATTTTTCCTCTAAGCTTGGGAGGCGGCGTGTCACCTCTGAGGTGAAGAAACAGAGAAACTCCAAACTCCAAAGAATGCAGCTAAAAAATGTTGCAGTTGGATTCAAAATCAATCCCATAATAAACAAAGAGTAATGCTATTCAGAGCTAAAAATCTGTCCTCATTTGTTGCACCCTGACATTTGGTTTTATTACACGGACACCCCTCACATTTCAAAAATTACATTGAGACCTCTTCACATTTGAAACATTTAACAATAAACTACCTCCGCTTGATGGACGCTACGGAAAATGCTGACATCAGCAAGAAGCTTTTTTAAAATTTTTATAATACCCTTGTTTAGTTAAAGTCATCCTATACAAAATCATAATGCTAAATTTCTTTTTGAAATATCAATTCTAATCCCTTCTGTTCAATTCAAAAACATCATTTTTCCTCCTACTTAAAATTTTAAATTTATTTAATTGATTATAAGATATTAATTAAAATTGGTAATTAGTTATTCAAATATATAAATTATTCTTTATTTCTTCAACAAAATAATTTTGATATTAATTACTATTGGAATTATAACTTCAAAAAATTAATTACTAAATTGCATCGTATTGACTAATAACTCAAAAAATTAATTATTAACTCAAAAACTCATTTGTAGTAATCGAGTTCCTCAAAAATAATTTTTTAGTTAATTGGCTAAATAACAATAAATTTGTTAAAGCAATATATATGTTTAATCCTACACACCAACGCCACCATTGCGCCACCACCACGATTGTCCTCCCTGATCTCCTCCAAACCATTCCCTCACCACTGAAACCACCAAAACTAACGATCCACAACCCACAAATTTAAATACGTATCAACTACACATCAAAATCCCCACATTGAAAGCCACCACCAACCAACACCTCCATTCACCGCTACAATAGATCATCGAGAGAGAGAGAGAGAGAGAAGATTTGAGGTCAAGATCGAAAACCCTAGGTGAAGATCCCTTCTTGCGCCAATCAAAGATCAAATTCTATGGATGGCAAGGGGTGGTGTTAGTTGTGGGTTTTGGATGGTTAAGGCAGTGGCGGTGGTGTCTCTCCATCTCTGGCGCGATGTCGGTCGATGGAGGTGTTGATAGCCGAGTCCACTATTGCGATTGTGCTTCTCGCAGTGGTGTTGGTAGTGGGTAATTGTTGACAACAGGTGGCAAAATGGGTAAGTTTGGTGTTGTGGTTGCGCCGTTGGGTTTGGGGGTCTGAGAGAAAGAGAGGCTAACATTTGGGGGAGAAGGGTGCCTAGGTCATGCACATGGGTCTAGGCACAGATCATGGTTGTAGATGTGGACTTGGATTTTGCTCATTTTTAAGTCAGTTAAATTGAGGGTAAAATGGTCTTTCTGTTAATACCGTTAACGACACCCATTTTAATGGGGTCTCAGTGTAAATTTTGAAATGTGAGGGAATGTCTGGGTAAAAAAAAAAAAAGTTAGTGGGAGCCTTACTATCACATCTACAGACATGTCATGGAATGCTGGCTATCAAGTTACTTTGAATAAAGTGGAGACAAGGAAAGCTATGTGAAAGGAAAACTTTTCTGGATATTTACACCAACTTCACGACAATGATACATGAACAGTGGCTAATTCATAATGTCATATGCATAGGGAAACTCAAAATGAAAGTCCTATGAAAACATACCTTCCTGAAGTCATTTGCCGACAATTTCTCAATCATTTGTGGACCTAATGTTAAGAAGCCCCTTCCTAGAGGACTGAATGGAACAATCCCAATGCCAAGTTCTCTGAAGAGTTATAAAAGCAAGGTACTTAGAAATTTGAATTGGTTATTACTTCCTAAACAAATTAGTTTGCCCAAATAGATGTCTCACCTACAAGTAGGAATGACTTCTTCCTCTACGTCTCTACACCATAAGGACCATTCAAGTTGTATAGCTGTTATTGGATGAATAGCATGTGCCCTTCTGATTGTATCAGGTGAGGCCTCAGACAGACCAATATATTTTATTTTACCCTCTTCAACCAATTCCTTGAGTGCTCCAATCTAGTAAAGCATGTCATAAAAGCAATTCGGAAAAGTGCAACAAGAACTTGATCAAAAGGAGGGTTGGGGTGTGTGTGTTGGAGGGTGGGGAAGAGAAAATCAGGCACAATAATGATGATATTCAAAAAAATTGTATACACAATAGTTCAATAAAGAGTAGTATGGATTAGGATTCGTTAAACAACTCTACTCACTGTTGGGTTTATAACACAACAAGTACTGCACTAGTATGCCACTATGTGTTAATTGGCACATTACCCCAGCTAAATAATGATTTTTCTTTTCCAAATACCATAGATTGATGCATCATAATTAAAAAAAAACCCTGATAAAAATTTCAAGGTGTTAGAGATGTTTCACATTGGTTATAACAATGTCCGACTAAAATGAAAAGTGAACCATCGGTTTAGATCTGAGACAAAGATTGGAGTGCGTGAAATAAGACATCAAGACATTATGATACCACGTTTCACGTTTGGAGAAGACAATTGCAAAAAATGTCATCTTTTAAATTTTGCAATATAGAGCATACTCGTGATAACTTAATGGAAGATTAACCCTAAAAATAACCCGAAAAAATATAGGAAATAATATACCATTACACTTCCAATATAACTGACAAGTTTCTAGAACAAAAACAGTAATGCACTCTGAATATGTAGGGGATATATCTTTGTGAAAGCCATATTTCAATGAGAAAGATGTGCAACAAACCCTTATAAACCATAAAATCTTTTGATATAGCAAAGAAAAGTTAACCTTTGTATCTTTGCTCAAATTTGAGATCTAAGAAGTTGTATTTTACCCAATGTACATGTAGTAAAAGGTAAATCAATGATTTACACGTATTCAATCATGAGTTTTTACAATGGCCTAGTTCTCACCTCAAATTTTTTTTTTTGATATTAAACATGTATTTTTTTAATATAAATTTTTCACAAATTTAATTGTGCCCACCCTATGTTTTGGTGATATCAATTTAGATAGACCCTGCCTAAATGATTATTAACTTTCAAATAATGTCATTGAAACCTAATACATCGTGATATTAAACCTTAGTAAGTCTCAATATTTAATAAACTCTAATATGCATCCAATGGTCACAAACCATTGGTCTCCACTAATTAAATCTTAAATTAGGTTCAACTAGCATTATTTTTAACTTTTAGACACGTTTCAAATATATTCGAATTAGTTTTAAACATATTGGGATAATTTATAATTTTTTTAAATTGTAGGGTTATTTTGTTATTGTATAAAACTGAGTGTCATTATTTAGTAAATTACTATTTTTTTTTTAAAAGGAAGGGGAATGGGAAGGGGAAGGAGGAGGGAGATTTGATCCCTTGACCTTAAGATGGCAAAGCCTTTACAAGACAAAGAGTACCATTAAACCAAATGCTCATTGATAGTAAATTGTAGGGTTATAAATGGAAGTAAATTGTAGGGTTAATCCTATAAATGGAAGTAAATTATCATTATTTAGTAAATTGTAGGGTTATAAAACTGAGTGTCATTATTTAGTAAATTGTAGTGTTTATATATATAAAAAATATTTGTTGATAAAATTGATTTGTAACGCTTTCTAATGATAAAAATACGTCAGTGTCAATTGTAAGTGATAATAATTAGTCTCACTTTTTATAAGTAGTTTTAATTATTTTTTATTTGTTCATAATATGTGAAGTACTCAATAAATTCAAGACACAAGTCTACACTATGTAAGGACAAGTGGCAGCAGTCATCAGTTGACATGAAAGCAGGATTGGTACGGACAATAATGCCACGACAGGCACCCAATGTCGTGACAAGCGCCTAGTTCCATAGCAGGCACTAGCGCCGCAAAAGACGGAACACATCCTCATCATATTAGAAGTGGAAAAACGGCACCACAAGGGTCTAGGGGCAACCTTGGCGTGGCTCGCCTTCCTTATTGCAAAGATAAGGCAAAAAATTGAGACTTTATAGTTGACAAAATTGGTATTCTCAACCTACAGGACACTGTCGATTGGCCCACTAGACTAGGAGGAGAGGTCCCCAACTAGGGCCAGGGCAGTATGGCCTTCCTCAAGGAAGAACTGAACAACAGAAACGGACGATCATGATTGTCAACCTCAACTTGGAACAGAGTCTCAAAGGTTTAGTCTGCTCGAGTAGGCCACCCAGGATATGACTCATTACCCACTAAGACATGTTTGACTAAGATCCAAAGGAACTCTTAAGGTAACTGGAATTATTGATCCAGATAAACAAATGGGATAATGGGACATGTGCATTGGTGACTGAAGGACCGACACTATGTGGATTTCCTCTATCGGGCACCTTAACAAAGGTCTCAATGAATAGAAAATCCTACGTAGTAGCATTGGGGGCACCGCATACATGGCCCTCTCAAGGTCATGGTCCTGCGGTGACCAGTCGCGATCATTAATCTTGCGAGTCCTCGATTGTTGTACCCCTCCTCAGAAGCTACATCCAGGGTGCATTTGAGAAAGCATTACATCTACCTAATGATCGTTGGGATATGTTGCTTGCGATTAACGGCCATTGGTATCGCCATGATCGAGATAGTTGTAGGTTGGCGCGAGTGTCAAAGGGTCGCGGCAGGAAGTCCTTGGGATAGTTCGACATGCCTAGGCATTGTACTACAAATACCCACATTACTTGTCCAATGCAGGGGGATGGAATTACTACCCAGCTAGTGAGAGCACTTACTCCCTCCACCTACTCTCTGACCAACTGGTCGATCCCTTTGTTAATAGGTTGCTTGAGTTCCTTACATCTCATCCACTTATCCTATTTATCCATTTGGTTACCCTTGACATAGACACGCGTGTAAGTCTTTTTTAACTCCCCACCTACACTATGTATATCATTTTTTAACTTTTTATGTTTCATGAACTTTTAAATATAAATATGATTTCAATAAATACAAATTTATAAACTTCTACTATCAATTAAAAGAATAATAAAAAACGTGTTAATGTGTCAACCATAAATTTTTTTCATAGCCCTGCCCTGCTTTTATCTACTCCAAAACTATGGTCACAGTTAGAAAAGATAAAACCTGGTCTGGATTTACTGTTATTGTGAGGCAATAATAAGTTCACAAGGGGGCAAAATAGACTAACCGTGAGTTCAATTGGTACACGAGTGTCAATGCAATGAATGTAGTAGAGATCAATACAGTCGACGCGAAGCCGCTTCAAGCTAGCCTCACAAGCCTCCCGCACATAGGCAGGATCACCACAGATCTCTCTCTCACTACGTTCCAGTATCCTATACCCAAACTTAGTAGCCAACTGCACTTTCTCTCTCATCCCTCCCTTCAAAGACTGCACTTATTTCAATCATCATTTCATCACAAAATTTTCAATATACAGTGCATACACCCACAAAGATAGCATTCGCTTGTAGTTCCAGTTACCAATAAGTCTAACCAAGGCCAAAATTCCTCTTACATATACAATGATGATTCTATGAACCCCACTCGATGATGGATTCAAATACTCTATCTACTAGAATTCCCTCAATTCGAGATTAACCATCTTGAAGGAAGTGATCCTACCCATACACAACGAGTAATTTAGATCGACATAGAAGTCCACAATCCCTAAAATTCAAAAATATCTTTATTTAACAAAGAATTCTCTAGTCCTGGTCGATCAGGGAAGGAATGAGTCTAGGAGTCATATCAATTTGTGACTAATAAATTGGTATGATTATGTAAGGGGTAGAACCCTCTACTAAGGATTTCGGCTTGACCTGGGTTAATCCACGCGGGCGACCCCCCAATAGCCTTTACCTCTCTTCGCCAATAGGACCCTTTCTTAAGGCAATCCCACATCGGAAGAGAGTCGTCTCCCCCCTGCCATATAAGTGAATACTTCCTATGGAGGAGGTACCCACCAGGGGGTGCCTAGTGGGTACCTCCTCCATAGGAAGTATTCACTTATATGGCAGGGGGAGATGACTCTCTTCCGATGTGGGATTGCCGGAAAGGGTCCTATTGGCGAAGAGAGGTAAAAACTACTGGGGGCCTATTGGCGAAGAGAGGTAAAGACTACTGGGGGGTTGCCCGCATGAGTTAACCCAGGTCAAGCCGAAATCCTTAGTAGAAGGTTCTATCCCTTACAGATTAGTATCAAGACATCCGATTAAATAAATGAATCGAGTTAAAAGATTGATTAATACTCCTTACAGTTGTAATAACACAACATTTGATCGTCATTGAAGTGAGGTAGGGAGTAGAAGAAGACCTTGCCAACAAGGAGCTCGTTGGTTTAGGGACCGTAAATGTCTGAGGTGTCGAGGAAGTTGACGCCGGTGTTGATGGCGTGGTGGATGAGGTTGATCATGTCCTCTTCCGGCTTGGGAGGACCATAGCCACATGACATGCCCATGCATCCCAGTCCTTGTTTTGATACTTCCAAACCCTGTGAACCCAGTTTGATTCTTGGCACTGCAATTGCCATTTTCTTTTCTTCGGTTCAAGCTTCTTCAACTCTATCTCTCTCTCCCACACACTCAGGTTGGGGGCGTGTGTGTGTGTGTGGACTGTGGAGATATGGCGAACGCGACCTGTGTGTTTGTATGCGGAAGATAAAGCCCGAGCGAAATAATGCATTTATTGGAACGCAATTTTCATATTTTTTAAAGAGAATTATACTTAGGTCCTCTGAGATTTTTTAAAATATTACATACGAATTTCTTAAAATTTGTAAGAGTATAAGACTTAGACACTTGCCATCAAATTTTCGTTAGAATACCTGTTAATAAATTACATCTAAACTTCTTAAAATTTATAGATATATAATACTTAAGCCATCAAGTTTAAAATGTTATATTTAGACCAAAAATATTATAATCTAAGATAAAAATATCAAATATTTTAAATTTTAAAACTAAAATTCATGTTCTATTGTATTATTTATTGAAATAAAATAAAAAATAAAAAGTCAATTTTTTCTTAAAAAATTGTAATTAGTATACAATTATACTATCTATTAGAATAAAACTAAAAAAATCAAATAAGGGGTCTAAGTCATTCATAATAGAATATGAATTTTACAACTAAAATTCATCTTTTATTATGTCATTTATTGAAAGAAAATCAAAAATAAAAATCTATTTTTTCTTAAAAAATCATAATTAGTATACAATTATATTATCTATTTGAATAAAACTAAAAAATTAATAAGATGTCAAACTATAATGAACACAATATATTCTAATTTTAATTAGGGTAATTTGGTAGTTTAATTTGGTCACTTAAACGACCAAATTAAATTCTAATAGATAATATAATTGTATACTAATTATGATTTTTTAAGAAAAATTAGATTTTTATTTTTGATTTAATTTCAATAAATGTAATAATAGAACATGAATTTTAGTTGTAAAATTTAAAATATTTGATATTTTATCTTTAATTTGAATATTTTTTGTCTAAGTATAATATTTTAGACTTGAATGATCTAATTATTACACACTTACAAACTTTAAGGGGTCTTAATATAATATATTAACTAACGATATTGATGGCATGATCAAAGTGTTAAGAATGTACAAAATTTAGGGAATTTATATATAATATTTCAAATATCGGGAATTTTAGTGATTAAATGACAAACTTTAGAAAATCTCATATTTCATTTGAATTAATTGCACCAGAGGTACCCCAAATATGGAATTATCTTATTTTAATCTCTAATATTTTAATTATATCATTTTAGTTTATAAAATATTAAATACTAGTAATAAATCGTGTCAAAAGACACTTAGCAATTTAAAAAAACTCTTCCATTTAAAATAAATTTTTTTATTTGTTTTAATTAAAGAAATTAAAATAAATCAATCCCTTGCTATTTTTTCAAATATTTTTGCCAGAGTTTCTTTCAAAAATAGGAACTTAGAAAAATTCAAAACTTTTTTACTGAAGTTATATATCTTATTGTGTGTATCACTGTCTAACATAAAACTATTGCATTGTCCAACATAAACCATTGCATAAGCAATCTCAAAAATAAATTACTTAATCTAACTCAAAAATATCATCATATTTTAGATCGTACACAATCTAAACCAAAATAACATTTATAACCAAATAACATTGGTTACAGTTACACATTATACACGCATGTCCAACTAAATATGGACCCTTGCCTCAAGGTATTGTGTAGAACAAAAAAATCTCCCTTTTGAAATATAATTGAAGAACGCTTAGTTTAGATTTATAAAGGTGAATGAAATAATGCATATCAAATAGGAAAAAACTTCGAATAGTTTCTTTCAATGTTATAGTAATAAGATGAATAGAAAGGAAGTTTACTTGCCCCTCGAAATCCTATTTTAATTAAGCTTTGGTGCCATAGCATTTTGTGCACTATCAACACCTACATGATCAAATTCTTAACTAATTAAATGATTTTTTCCAAAAATATGGCATCACCTAAAACTATACAACATTGAGATTTGCCACAGAAAGAGTTATCCAATTTTAATAGTACGTTACTTTAAATACCAAAATTGTGCAACCAATATTAAGTTACTTTAACTAAAATCAATCGTAAAGGTGACAATAACAAAATCAATAAACTCGCATGTTAAGTTAAATTCTCCACCGTGTGAATGTGATCAATGACAGAATTTGATATTTTGAAATAGTGTCTTTTTTTTCGTTGCTTCTTTTTTTTTTTTTTTAAACATTTTAACGAAAGTGATTATTAATGCTTGTAACTTGTTTTTGTCCTTGGTCAATTTTGGACCGAAGAGTGCCCAAGCACCTTTTAGGCCAGCTCAGTTTATTTATCCATCGGTCCAATGCACTTGGCTCATCTCACGGAGAGAAAAGTCCTAATGTAGTTGTCTTGTTGCCTCCCGACACATTCCTGAGCAAAAGTCAGCCTTTTTCTGGTTGATAGGTGAAGGCTGCACTAGAAGATAATACAGGGACCGAGGGTGATGAAGATGATTCTACCAATAAATAAAGAGTTCAAATGAATCATGGTTTACAAAACAATGGTAGTTAACAATGAGGACACCCAAAACATAAATCTCACATACGCATACAATTAAACACTTTGCCTTAAACATCATACCATTTGAAAGTAACACTCACTTAACAACACATAATCCCAATCCAAAGAACCTTAACCTTAAAAAAATTTACATACGTTCAATGAAAACCCTATAACATACAATCTCAATTAACATATAATATCAAACAATTAGCACACAACCTGAATCATAATCACCATAAAATACATTCAATAATCACCTTAAAATACATTCAATCAAAACCTTACAAACATCTGTCATTAAAAACACAATTTATAATTTCACAAACCAATTTCATGAAAAATCCCAATTTGAAAACCCTAACATTCAATAAAAATACTAAAAAATATATTACAACCATATTTAAGGAAACCCCAAATTGATGACCCTAAAATACATTCAATCAAAACTCTACAAACATCTATCATAAAAAAAACCCAATTTATAATTTAACAAACCCAATTTCATGGGAAATCCCAATTTGTGTATATGTGTGTCTCTGTGTGTGTGCGTGTTGTTGTGTGCATGTGTTTATGTGTTGGGCTCATTTTATTGTATTTCAAAACATTTAATTGGTTATGCCTACACTCTTATATTATTTCTAAACCCATTGACTTAGTCTTTTGTCTTTGCAAGCCCATGACCCACTTCTTTTGTTATTATCGTTGGAGTAGCTTACAAAATAAGCTTTCACTTTTTGGTCTTGGTTTATCTTGGTTGTAGACTTCGGCTCTCTTGTTCTCTTGCATTTGCTTCTATCCTCTCTTTCTTTGCCTCAATGCTCACATTCTCTTTAGAAAACTTTGTTGTGCTTCCACAAGGAACTATCAACAAAGGTTGTTAAACACTCTTCACAACAAGTGTGTTTTGGTGGAGGTGAAGTTATAGAGATCTTGGGAGGTTGCCGTGCAAAGGACCTATCACACTGAGTCTTCGACTTCAGGGAGAAGCAAATCAACCTTTAAGGAAAAGTTTCGACTTGATCTATAGTTTGGTGAGATCGTTCCTTTACTTATATTTCATAAATTGTGATTTTAGGGCAAATTATTTTTGGGTCTAAATTCTTGGGTCCTTATTTTAAGTAATTAATCACGCAAGAGTGGGTTTTTCCATCATTTCATTGCTTTATTAAATAAATTATAGAACAATCTTAAATGTTGTTTTTTGCAATGGATACACAACTTCTTACACAAATAAAGATCTTATCCGATACTTCAAAAATTGAACATTTTGATGGAAATAATTTTCGTAGATGGAAACAAAAGGTTCTTGACGTGTTTAATTTTTTGAAATTATCATTTGTTCTAACTGAACTTAGATCAGATGACGATACCGAAAATTATGTTCAGGCTTTAGAAAATTAGACTCTTGCCGATAAATTATGCTTGAATACTATTCGTAATGCTTTGTCTAATGACCTATTTAATGTGTATAGTCACATAGAGAATACTAAATTTTTATGGGATGAGTTGATCTCAAAATATGAATTTGAGGATGAAGGTACTAAGAAATTTTTTGCGATTAATTTCCTTCATTACCAAATGGTCGAGGCAAGATCATCATATCACAAATTTATGAGTTTTAAAATATAATAAATGGCTTGGCCAAGGAAGGTGATGTATTACCCAAGAGATTTAGGACTCAATGCCTTGTAGAAAAATTACCCAAGTCTTGGAGAGAGGATAAACCCAAATTTCGACAAAAGAGAAATGCTATGACATTTCAAGAGACCATTGTCTACATTAAAATTGAGGAGAAAAATAGACTTTTACAAAAGTCTACCCAAGCCAAGGAAATTGTGTCCAAAGCTAATGTAATAGATGGTGGACCAAGTAGAACCCCACAACGCCAACAAAATAGGAAACATGACCAAAAATTGAATTGGAGACCTCACAACCATAATAATAAAAATAAGTCTCCTGTGTCTAATTCTCAAATTCAAAAGAGAAAAGGTGAATGTTATGTTTGTGGTAAAGTAGGACATTATGCCTCAATGTGTAAATATCGAAAGGGTGATGATGATACACAAAATATGTCAAGGCTAAGCTCGGGAATCTAGCTTAGAATAAGCCTTCCTAGCTTGGGCACCCAACCCATCCTAGATGACCAGGGAGCCTGAGGTCAGACCTTGCATCTCCACGAGGATAACAAATAAGATAGCTAGCTTCCACCCAAATGCCATCCAAATAGGGGTGTTAATCGAGCCAAGCTCGACGAGCATCACCATGCTCAAGTTCGGCTCGACATTTTGGAAAGTTGCTCAAACTTGGCTTGAGCTCGAACATCAAGCTTATTTATTAGCTCGAGCTCAGCTTGACAAAAAAATGACAAGTTCAAGCTTGGCTTGATTAGGCTCATTTTTTGTAAACATGCTCGAATTTGAGCTCTAGCTCGTATAAAGCTTGATCCAAAAATT